AACCGCGCGGTGTATGGAAAAGATTTAAAAGACGGTGGCGACGGCGCGAATATATCGAATGTCCGCCGTTTCGACTCTTCGACAAGGATATAAATATTTCGAATGGAAAGTCTCGAAAGTCGCTCACCAATAAGAAATTCGAATAACGGCGATTTTATTCCAAGTTCTTTTCTTACGTTAAAACCCCTCTATAACTCAATTTTCTTCCTCTCTTTTTTTTTCCCTCTCTCTCTCTCTCTCTCTCTCTCTCTCTCTCTCTCTCTCTCTCTCTCTTTTTTTCTTTTTTTTTTCTCTCCATCGCGTCTTAAAAACAAATAATTATATAATTTGATGGTTATAACGTGAACGTTAAACCTCGCTGTTTTAAATTATATAGATTATATGATATAAGTATAATTTATAACTGTCATTGAGAATATCCATTAAATTTCGTGCAAGTGTTAAAAATTAATTACATATGGGAAATATAATGAAATAAGATTTAAACGATAATACGGATATACGAGTGTTGTATTTATGGAAATTTGAAGATTATATTGAAATATTTTAATGTAATATTTCAAAAAAAAAAAAAAAAAAAAAAAAAGAAAAAAAAAAATAAGGGAATAATGTTTTGAAGAAGAATTGAAAGAAAACTTTACAATCGAGTTGTTTTCGTACGATAGCCACCCCCACGGCAAGTTCTGGTGTATCCGCGATACTTCGTTGTAAGGTTTCATTTGGGATGACAGTTGCAACCCCTCGTGTCGATGTACCTAAAGATCTAGCATTTCTAAAATTATTCTCTGGTGTTCTATAACTTGAATGTAAAATGGTACTTGGTTCTTCATATCCCGATTCCCATCCTTCACCGACCGATATAGATCTGCGATAAGAAAATTCGTATAATATCGTACAACGAAAAATCAAATTTTAATTTGTATGAAAAAATTAATACGAGGTTACTCACGGATCAATTTGACATCCATTATGACTTTTCCCTTCTATGACCGTACTATGCTTACAATTACACATTGCCTTTTATATTGATAATTATTATATCGATTTAACTTGAAATTTGGAAATGTTATATCGAAAATTTATAATAATTTGAAGAAATAATTTTTAATGGATTACATATTGATATAAATGATGAATGATTGATGAAACGACTATCGATCGGTTTTCAATTTTTCTCGATTACTCTGATCGATTTGAGAATTTGATTAAATTATCGAGCAAGATCGTAGATAACGATTGTTAGTGATTTTTGAATGTTTGAAAATTAAAAGTAACTTCCATCTATATATATATGTATACACACACACACACACATATATATATTTTTTTATTTTTGGTATTATTCCGTTCGAATAACAGTAAAATTTTGGAAAGGTTCTGTTTATCGTTAGATGAATCTATCTCGATAGAGAAATATCTCTCTCTCTCTCTCTGTCTCTCTCTCTCTCTCTCTCACTTTCTCTCTATCTCGTCGTCTTTCTCACGCTCACATATATATATATATATATATATATATATATATATATATATGTGTGCGCTCGCGCGATAGTAAGTCGGACGCGTGCGCAAGACCACACACGGCGCGATATTCAAATGAGCTCGGCTTATAGTCCGACTATCGCACTGCCATAAACGTCGTTCTGTGATTTCACGAGTGTGTCTACTCGTTCCTGTTGAACTCGCGAGATTCGCCGCGGCACTCTATGTAGATCGGATAAGCAAGATCTTTCGTAATATTTTACGCAACTTCGATCCTTGGAAAATACTCGTTTGCTCGTAATAACACATTCGAGAATAGTAATAGATTCGTGAATTACGACTTCCCTTTATAACTGCTATCTCTCTCTTTCTCTCTCTCTCTCTCTCTCTCTCTCTTTCTATGTATATATATTTTTCTTTCTTTTTTTTTTCTTTCTCTCTCTCTCTCTCTTTCTCTCTCTTCTCTCTCTCTCTCTCTCTCTCTCTCTCTCTCTCTCTCTCTTTCTCTTTCTCTCTGTTAAGATATTAATATCACGACAAGAGAAATAACAGCGTCAAACTGTGAAGAAATTTATTCGATATTTTAACGATCTATGCCAACGACGATTAAAATAACGACGATGTTTTAGTTAACGATGATCGAGGAGTAGATGATGATAAAAACGATTAAAGGAAACGACTATATAATGATGAAGCCAACGGAGTTGGTGTTAAGTGGCGAGTTTCATCAAACGTAATATTCCATTGGATTATTTCTTCTTTCTATCGTAGATTTTGACGGGCATCTGTAATTCAAATTCAAAATCAAATTAATTTAACGCCCATCATTTTTCACCTTACTCCGGTGCCGTCATTTTTACGGTGTCTCTCGATCAGAGTATCGTTTGATATCTCATAGCACGTATTTATATGGGTGTTATCTTTCGTTTCTCCTTTTTCATTTCTCTCTCTCTCTCTCTCTCTCTCTCTCTCTCTCTCTCTCTCTCTCTCTCTCAGTCTCTCAGTCTCTCTCAAAGTTCTTGATTGATTTGTTTTCGATTCGATCGATACTATTTTATCGATAGGTAAATATATATAGATGAATAAAAATTATGTAAAATCGTTGAGTTGCATTGACAGATTTACGTATTAGAGTTTTATTATAATTATATATCTCCTGGGAAGTTATTTTTATTCAAAAACTCGAAGCGTATAATTCGAACGTATACGATCAAAGAGATATTGACGTTTATATATATACTGGATATCGCGTAGGTATTATGTAAAACGGGATGTTTTATCATTGGAGAGTAATTATGAGTTGAAAGGCCTTTGTATTATGATTCTTTTATCTACATAATCGTATCGATATTGAATGTAATTTCTATTTACAAATCGTATCGATATTGAGTAGTCAAAACTTGATCGTTGCTTATAATCATGTTAGATTAGTTTACGTTATAGATATGGTAATTACACGTTGGAGTTAAATAATTACCAATATCCTTTAAAACGGCATCATTTATGCCTCGATGAGCAACGATAACGATTGATAATTTGAATCTAAAATATATTACACGAGTATTTAAAGAGGATTAAAATAATCTACGTAATAGAGTATCGATCTTTTTTGTTTCCTTTCTTTTTTTTTTTCTCTCTATCGGTTGAAGGTCACTTTTTAATACAGTTATTAATTATTTAAATGAATACTGTCAAATGGTTTATCGTGGATCGGAAATATCTCTCGTAGTCGATACAAGAAAGACTTTAGTAAAGTCGTCGGACGTTTTTTTTTTTTTTTTTTTTTTTTTTTTTTTTTCCTTTTTTTCTCCGATGATCACCGATCTCCGACGTCGGATCGTAAGAAGAAAATATAAATGTGAGCAATCGCAATGTGAGAAATTAACTTTATGCGGACTCAGCGGGTGGCTTGGGAGAGCTGATCGTATAGGAGCGCAAAGTGAAAAGTGTTCCACCTTGCTTGGCGCGTTCGGAATGTCCCTGGAATCTTCGTGGAATGCTGAAGGGGAATGAACACCTTGCGTTAATTTATCGAGTAGTCGAAGTCGTTTTAATCCGTTAGTAAGTTCTTTGGTTATATCGGGAGAAGGTAAGGAACCACGGAACCATCGGAAAGAGAAAGGGAGAGAAAGAGAGAATAAGAGAAGGAAAGATAGAAAGATGATGATGAAGATGACGACGACAACGACGACGACGACGACGACGACGACGACGACGACGACGACGTTAATGATGATGATAATAATGATGCACGACTCAATTCTATTAATTATTGACTATAATTATCGCTATCATCGAATCTGCGAAAATTTGAAAGATCAATGTTTATGTATCTTCTTCTTAATTGATTCATGTTCTACTCGTTGATCATTCAAGGATCGTTTTGTAAGTTAGTGATATAAAGTTTGCACGTTATCATAACGAAGATAACGCTCATTCGTGAAAAGATTACAGGCAAGGCATTATACGATAAAGGAGTACAATATAAATTATTGTTATTAATCCTGGTCCGCACAATGGTAATATTCGTACGAAGGGTAATCGGTATATAAAAGTCGTTAAAAATAACGTCGGTTCTCTTTTAAAAGGCGCGGAGTGACATCGAAAAATAATAGGGCATTAGCATACGAGTTTATCGAGGTGCACGCTCTAAACGGTGCTAAGTTATGATCATAATTCGTAGGATGGCTCCGATCGGTGAATTATTAATGATTCGCCTTTTCAGATCGGGCCCGGCACGATTTACTTTAACGATGTAATTCGAAATCGATTTGACTTCTTAATGCCCTTCCGTCGCGCAAGGGCTTGTACTTTGTGTAACTCAGGGTGTGTAACATCGAAGCTCTTAAGGTTCATTACCATATTCTTTCGTTTACCGTGCGGGTCTCTGCATACCTATTACACAGCTATTACACTGTCACTTGCCTCGACCGGTTATACCATATTTGAATATTTATTTAGCTGATTATTTTTTTAACGAGAGACTCTGGAAATTCGATAGCCAACGTTTTCGTTCGGTCCACGCGAAATTGTCAATAACAGGAGAGTTAAAGGGGGCGTGCGTGTTTTATAGGGTAGTAGAATATCGAACGAGTATCGGCTCCAGAGTCTACGGGATTTATTACAAGAAGAATCTTTTGACGCAACTTATTAATATAGCCATTAATCATTCTTTAATGGCAGCGGTGAACGATCAAGGAATAACTCGATAAATTGATTTCGTATTAATGCAATTTGCGCGAGTTGAGAAGAGGGAGGAATGACGAGAGAGGGTTAGATAGATAGGTAGATAGAGAGAGAGAGAGAGAGAGAGAGAGAGAGAGAGAGAGAGAAAGAGAGAGAAGAAAAAAAAAAGAATGAAAAAAAGTACCTCTGATATTTGTCGAATAGAAGTTTGTCAAAAAAAAAAAAGAAAAAAAAAAAAGAAAAAGAAAAAGAAAAAGACAAAAAAGAAAGAAAGAAAGAAGGAAGAAGAAATTAAAAAAAAAAAAAATAAATATCTTTCCTCTCTTTCCTTTCAGATTCTTTAAAGCGATGGACGATTTCATGGCAAGCGCCGAGGAGGGTGAGTGTTGCTTTACATTAAATTTATTTTATCGGATTGATAGACGATTGAAGTAAACGTCTCTTTATTGAAAATCAATTTGTTTAACGATTTGTTTAACGCGTGTGTACGTTTCTTGTGTCTGACTATATATGGGAAAAAAAAAATTAAAAAGAAAATAAAAAAATAAAAAAAAGAAAGAAAGAAAGGAAAAAAAGAGAGAAAGAAGAAAATGTAAATCGTTGATAATAATCCGTAAACTTCCGTACTCCGGGGAGACATTTTGTTGTTTTTTTTCTTTTCTTTTTTGTATTTATTTTCTTTTTTCTTTTTTCTTTTTTTTTTCTTTTTTTGTGGTGCGGGAGGGATTTATTTTTGGAAAGATAGAGATAGACAGACAGGCAGAGAGTATAAAGAAAGTGAAGAAAAAGAAAGAGAGAAAGAGTGAGAAGGATAGATTGAGATAGAGAAGGAGAAAGATCGGTCCTTCGTGGTAAGAACGACAGGGAAAGGAGAGGACAAGACGATCGGTAGAAAGAGAGAAAGAGAGAGAAAGAGAGAGAGAGAGAGAGAGAGAGAGAGAGAGAGAGAGAGAGAGAGAGAGAGAGAGAGGACGAATCTTGGAGTTCGAGGGAGCGAAAGATCGCCCACGCACGGGACGTGTATACCGGACCGTTGTTAATTATCCGCCGCCGTTTATCAACTGCTGAAGAAGAAAAAGAAAGTTTCTCCGAGCGCGTTCTTTCTCTCCTACGTCCATGTCTCTCTCTCTCTCTCTCTCTCTCTTTTTTTCTTTTTCTCTTTCTCTGCTTCTTCTCTTTTCCAAGCAAACGAAGAAGAAGAAGAAGAAGAAGAAGAAGAAGAAGAAGAATAAAAGGGAAAAAAAAGAAGATTCTTCTTCTCTTCCTTCTTTGCTTTTTTCCACTTATGTTCTCGAGACCAATCAGGCAAGATCTCGTTTTCTCGTAGAAACGAATCGTGATTTTAGAAACGTTCTTACAAGAGAAAATAATATTCTTTATACGTATAATCATTCAACTTTCATTGTTAATATTTATTGATTATCATCGAGGAGAGGTACGATTTATGAGGATCGTACGTAACGAGCGATTATTAATCCGCTCGTTAATATGCAACAGCGTATCACTCGATTCCTTGCTTCTTCTCTTCTCTTCTCTTCTCTTTTTTCTTTTCTTTTTTTTCTTCTCTTCTTCTTCTTTTCTTCCTTCCTTCCATTCTTTCCTTTTATTTTTATATTATATCCTTACGATGCGACTCACGCACGAAGTGGATCGTGGGAAAGTCATGAAAGTTCGAATCGAAAGGTGGAGTCCCTCCTCCCTCGCGAGGGAGGACGAGAGCACGAACGAACGAACGAACGAACGCTGGTGAAACAAGTCTCGAGAACGCATTCCAAAGGCAAAAGGAGCCGCGCGTGGTCCATCCTTTGGCCTTTACTTAACATTTATCAGTACTTCCAACTTCGACGTATATACGCGCGTTTCGATCTAAGATCGAATCGCGCGAGTCGATCTTTTTTTTTTCGTTTTCTTTTCTTTCTTCTGCATCTTTTTCTCTTTTTTTCTCTCTCTCTCTCTCTCTCTCTTTTTTTTTTTTCTTTTTATTCGTTGACCACCGTATTTACGATTGAAATGTATTACCTTCCTTGTACATTCCATTTTTATCATCTATAGATACGTATTTTATAAATATATATATATATATATATATATATATATATATATATATATATGTATATATACGATCATTGATCTAAATCGTAAGAAAATACAAGGATAATAAAAAGAACTTTTGAACTTTGATTATCCATTTTCTTATGACTCTCTTTGTCAGTCAATTTCTAATTTGATTTGATTCAATTATTTCTAATTATGAAGTCTCATGTGTTATAGATAAATGTTACCAATTGATTTTCTTTTTTATTATTTTAAATCTACGGTAACGTCAGAGATGACCTTATAATGCAAAGGTTTAAAGATAACTTCCTACAAATCCTTGAATTTTCCTTGATTGCAAGCACGAATGAACGAAACGACATACACACACACACACACACACACGCACGCACATACATGTACACATGTATTTATGTATGTACGTGCGCGCTGACACGCGAGATTTTCTCATTAGCGATTTCACCGAAGGCGGCACTTTATGAGAGAAAGAAAGAGACAGATGGATAGGGAAAGAAAGCGAGAAAGAAAGAAAGAAAGAAAGAAAGAAAGATAAGCCTACAGCGAGTCCATTTACAGTGGCTGGTGATTTATCGGGCGCGGAACGTAAGATGTCGTTAATCGTTCGCATCCATCGTCGAAGGCACGGCTTTGGCGCGCGTAAAAGGCTCGTAGCAGATTCTTGCATACACTTCTCTTTCTTTCTCTCTCTCTCTCTCTCTCTCTTTCTTTCTCTTTTACACATATACACACACTCTCTCTCTTTCTCTCTCTCTCTCTCTCTCTCTCTCTCTCTCTCTCTCAAACGTGTGTCTTCCGACGTCATCACCCCCATTCTAACCACCGTTTCACATATGCGAGATACATCGAAAACGTTCGATCGTTCGATTGATTTAAGACGGCAGTAATCGAGCTCCACCGAAAAGCCACTCGTACTTTTCTCCTCCCACGCGACAACGATATTTTCGCGTTTATGTACACGCGAGAGTTTGCCGACATTAACGTCTCTTCCACCGTTTACAACGACTCTTACATACATACATATATTTTTTTCTTTCGTTTGATACGACCGAGAAATGTTTGACAGTCTTGAACGGACTGTTTTGAATTTTCTTTGTTCATAACTCTCTTTATCTTCTTCTTTCACTCACTCTCTCTCTCTCTCTCTCTCTCTCTGTCTTTCTCTTTATTATTATGCATTTTTTATTGTTTTTCTTTTTTTTTTCTCTTTCTTTCACAATTCATACCTATGCACGGTGCGTTACTTTCAATAGCCAAAAATCTTATAAGTTTTTCAATTTGATATAAATCATTGTATATGTCGAACGAACGTTAAAATTTTTCTTCGATTCGTTTGAAGAAACGAGAAAAAAATGCGAGGACGCGTATTAAACGAGTTCAAAAAAAGAAAAAAGAAACGAGAAAAAAGATAAAAAAAAAAAGAAAAAGATAAAATAGGTATGAAGGTGGGAGATCGATTCGAACGTTTTTAGAGAATAAACGTTGCTCTATATCGCGGAACATTCTTATCGCGAACAGAGAGAGAGAGAGAGAGAGAGAGAGAGGTTGGGGGTGGGGAAGTGGGTGATGATTGGAAATCGTTTAAGAAGTGACGATAGAGAAAATTCACGAAAGAATTTTCCAGATCCAAGAGAGAAATCGATTCCAAGTAGAAACCGAGAGCGGGGGTCGAAGTTTCTCAGTAATCTCGTTGAAGATCGGTTCATTTACCGGCGCTACGTCGTCGGTGCACCCCAGGGGTGCTTGCTCCAGATTCGCATTAGATGCAGACGTGTTCTGTTCTCAGAATGACGTCGTCCCATTCCTAAAAGATACACATACACGTAAGAAAAACTTTGCATTCGAGATGATCTCGTTGATAGATAGCGAACGTGAATCCAGTTTGCGATGAAGGAGAATGCTACGTACGTGAAATATTTTCTAGTTTTCTCTCTTTCTCTCTCTCTCTCTCTCTCTTTCTCTTTTTGTGCGTAGATCTTTGTGCAATTTCTCTACAAATCGTGCTTGAGATTTTGCGTGTAGATTCGTCGTCGTTCGAGAAGACGCGTCGAAATCATTGACTTTAAAAATTTTCATGGTCAAGTTCGAGGAGCGTAATGAATTACGAGCTTCTCGTGAAATTCGTGAAATAAATGTGAAGAACGTAATAGAAAAAAAAAAAAAAAAAAGAAAAAGGAAAAAGAGAAAAAAAAATGAAGAAAAACAGAAAAAAAAAACTGAAAATACGTTCTCTCTGAAACGACCTTCTCGCGAGCGGATATATTTTTTTTTTTCCTTTTTTTTCTTTTTTGAAGTGTTCGTGGCCGAGGTCGAGGAGGCTCTGGCGTATCACGCGCACTCCGACATCCATTTAATTTGCACCGAAGCGCGTGGTAAAGAGGTACAAACTGCCTCGAAAGTACTCAGTACTTACCACTTTTTTTTTTTTTGTTTTTTTTTGGGATATAAAGGTTAAAGGAAAATAAAATATATGGAAGGGAGAAAAAGACGAAACTACTCTCATTAAGGTCGTACTTTGCGAAGGTGCCGCCGTGACCTGACTTTACAGGCCCAGTCACGAACGCCCGAATTCGTCGCAGCTTTTGACGGTAATTTGCGATAATATTATAATCAGCCCCTTGCTGAGCAGCAAAGAGTATTACTGAGAATAAAAAAAAAAAAATATATGTATGTGTGTGTGTGTGTGTGTGTGTGTGTGTGTGTGTGTGTGTAGAGTATATAAGAGAAAGAAAGAAAGAGAGAGAGAGAGAGAAAAAAAAATACAAGCTTTCTTCGGACGAAATAAATTGATGACCCATGGAATTGTGCACCTTCACCATGGACGTTATTTTTATTTTTATTTATTTTTTTATTTATTGAAACTATAGTTCTCCTTTGAAGCAATTAGACGTATTTTATACACCAATCATTTAAACTTTTGCAATTTATATCGTTGGAGGATGCTCGACTTGTTTTTCAGGGTATAATAACGTAGGCTTAAATATAATCAAGCTTTTTAACTTTCTTTTTTTCCTTTTTTCATTTTATTTATTTATTTATTTATTTTTATTATAGTTACAGTATGATAATTTGTCTTACATATTTATTCGCAGTAAATCAGATCTAGGTAACAGATCGTATGTTTTTGCCCGCTTCGCTGCCCGAGGGCACAGCCATTGTTCGGGGTAATGACACATTCGGATAAATTTATGGACTTTAAAAATTGAACGTACTCGGGAGTTTCGAATTCGTCTGACCTAGTTCTTTAAACTTCTCGAAACGTTTTGGAGTAGTACGTTATCGAAGTTGTGCGTCAGACGTTAGTTATATTCGTGAAATGACGTTCGACGTTTCGTTACATTTTTCATTTACATAAGAATCGAAGCTGCTCAACGATGCATAAAACTTTCTTCTTCTTTTTCTTTTTCCCTTTCTTCTTTCTTCTTTCTTCTTTCTTCTTCTTCTTCTTCTTCTTCTTCTTTTGTTTTTTGTTTCAGACGATGTCATAGGAGTACACTGTACGCATGGTATAAACCGCAGTGGGTATCTTATTTGTAGGTAAGGAAATTATCGTAAGGACGTCAATGTAATTGCTTGGAAATAATAATATATATATATATATATATATATATATGTATTATTTAAATAAAATGTTTCATTTTGACATTTGGTTACAGGTATCTCATTCAACAACAAGGCTGGGAACTACAAGATTCTTTAAAAGGTATATTAATAGTAGACCATTTCCACTTGACATTTTAATAACCGAAGCTTTAAAAATGTTTCATTTTAAAAACGCGTGAAATAGTAATAAGAGAAAGCCATTTGTACTTGTCGAAAGGATTTAGATCGTGACCTGAATTTAACTGGTATATATGTTGGAAAATAAATTAAAATTTTGAGAATACGGACAAATCGTTAACCCCTATTCGTGTTTACGAACGAACAAACGAAAACAATGTCACGTAGTTCTTAGTTAAAGTCATTTGGATGACAATAGAACGCGAAAATCGGCGAGCCCTTAATCATATGAATCTCGAATCAATTTTCACATTTCATGGAAGATAATTTGAGTTTTTGGCGATACGTCGTAAGAAAGAAACCTTTTGACCGTGCACTCTACGGATATCCATGGGTGTCGATTTCGTTTGAAGAAAATTAGATAGAAACCGCGTAAAATTTGTTTTTAAATTTTAGATCAATGTAATGTTAATTTCGTTCGATCCTAAGGTTATTATTTTTTTTGTTTTTCTTTTTTCCTTTAGTCTATCGAATAAATGTATAAAAATTAATCGTTTTTAAATTGCGAAACAACGAAAGTGTAATGTTACAGCTTTCGAGGAGGCACGTGGGTACCCGATTTATCGTGACGCATATGTTGCTGCCTTAAAGGAGATACCACGTGGTGAGAAGATCGATACAAATAAAATCAATCTATTTAACCCATCGACCACTCGTAAAGAGAATTACTCAATACCAGTAAGAAGAGTGCTCGATCAGTATAGAATAAGACTGAAACATCCAAAAGGAAGACCAGTGCCATATCCAATGGGTCCACCGCCAGGATTCAAGCCACATCGTCGTGGATTCACGAATGGAGCGCCCTATCCACCGCAACCTTTTGGTTTTGGTGCTCCACCACCTGGATTTGGTTCAATGCCTCCACATCCGCCTGGTATGCCACTTCCACCGCCGCCAGGGCCACCAATGTATGGTCCAAGACCTTTGAGATATGGACCACCACCGCCCCCACCACCACCACCACCAGCCATGAGAGCATCAGGTCCAGGCTTTCATCCACCAGGCTTTCCACTGCGTTTACCAGGTCTACCAAGAATGGCTGGTCCACCTAGATTACCACCTGGTCCGCCATCTCGATTACCACCTCCAAAAATGCCTCCGCCTCCTCCACCACCGCCACCGCAGGTTAGGCAGGCGGTTGTTGTTAAACGACTACAAGCTCACAAAAAGAAACATCATAATCAACATCAGGAGCAACAGATCGCTAGAAACGGTAGAATTATACCACTTGGGAGTTCGATGAGGCTAACAAAGCGTGAAGTCAGTACCGCCAGAAGGATTAGAAATATCACTTCAAAAATTACCAAGGAACAGGACTTTACCGTAGATACTTTCGAGGAAAACCTTTTGGCTGTCTCATCGACGAACGCACATTTGCGACGGCCATTAAAAGGACGATACCATCAGACTAAGTGATGATGTGTTATCTAGGATGGGGGCGATTTATCATTTAAAAACTTACAATATGTTGTGTAATAATGTCATTCGCATCAGTCGCTCAATGTGTTGCTCTAAAATCCCTTATGGCGACACTTTTAAGATAGAAGGAAAAAGAAAATGTGATTTTTGCGATCTCACCGTTCTTGCATTTACGAACGGTATTCGAATAGATGCGAGAGAACGAAGAGAAACGTTTTGAGACGTAATAAACTTCTATTTCTCTCGGTCTTAATTCCTAACACACATAAAAATCAAACGAGGGATCTTTGTTGATTCTTTATTCGCCTTGTCGATTTTCTAGACGTTTATCTATTTCAACTAAAAATCTATAAACTGTTGTGAAATATGTCGTCGTCGTTTTTCCATCCGAACAACATGGCTCTCATTGTTGGGAAAAATCTATACTGGAACCTACTACTACTACTACTACTACTATTACTACTACAACTACTACTACTACTACTACTACTACTACTATTACTACTACTACTACTACTACCACTACTACTATTACTACTACTACTATTACTACTACTACTACTACTACTACTACTACTACTACTACTACTACTACTACTACTACTACTACTACTACTACTATTACTACTACTACTACTACTACTTTACGTTTAAGACTATGTTCGACATTGACAAATAAACGCACTTTATTGGTAAGTTCCTTTTTTTTTTTTTTTTTTTTTTTTGTCGACTATTTAAAAGACGAAAATTATATGTGGATTACGTGTATCGTACTATTATAAAATTATCGTCGAAAGAAATAGTTTAGATTAAGGGATTAGAACCTGACGTCTCTCGTGTCTCGTTCGAAGATAATTAAAGTGCTTCAATATTCGACCTTGACGGTCAGGGATCATGCGTGTAGATGTGGTGATATTGATCATATTTACGAACGCACGTATCGTATATCATTAAGCGATTGTACGCGCCTTAAATGGAATAAAATTCCACACGGGGAGAATTTTCTAGCGTCTTTTTAAAGCTTCTTTTATAATTTTCGAAGCTTCTACACGCGTTATTTTCAACGTTAAGGAAAAATCCATAATGTAAGCTAAGTAGTAACTATCGACTTTAGTTTCTCCATTTAATAAGGAATCGAACAGAGAAGAAACAGAGAAAAAGAATAAGAAAATAAAAATAATTTCTCTGAAATCGTATGTCGGTCAAAAATTATAATACGAATACGATCGACGATCCTATAAGGATTTTATTTTTTCGAACGGCCTGTTGTAATGTATCTCTTTTCAAAGTTCACACATTATACGAGTTCTTTCATAGATCACGATGAACATAAATTATTAAAACCATTCACAAGCGGATGCATGATTTATTATGAATTATAGATATACGACTATGCTCTTAAAGAAAATCGAAGAACTACGAGTACAACAACGATGTAAACGACGACGACGACGACGATGACGACGACGACGACGATGACGACGACGACGACGACGACGACGACGACGACGATGACGACGACGACGACGACGACGACGACGAAGACGACGAAGACGGCTAAAACTTGAAAACTTTTTCGATATGGAAAGATCGTCGCGTAGACAATTGAGATTATAATAGTAACTAGACTTTCTCCTAGAAAACGTCAAGATTCTTGGAAAAAGTTTATTACATCTCGATCATCTTCAACGATCGATCCAATAAAAATCGAGAACAATATGAATGTCGTAAAAGTTGAGACAATATTTTTTCAATCCAGACATTGCTCATTTAGCCATTTAGATTTATCAAAGGACGTATTTTCTCAATATTTTCAGATAGAAAAAAGAAAAGAAAAAAAAAAGCAAAAAAAGAAAAAGAAATAAAAAAAAAAAAAAATAAAAAATAGAAGAAAGAACGAGATTAGAAAATATTTTATTTGATTTATACAAATTGTCTTTTAAACAATTTCAAAGTTTCTCGACGTTATTACGAGATATCGCGAAAGCGCATCTCGAACGTTTATCGCGCAACACAATCGTAATAATCGAATGAACGAATTACGTGAAATAGATTTTGATAAAAATTATAATAATAGTGATAATCGCACGATCTAACTATCGTGCTGTGGTCCAAAACGTTCCCAGTTGATGCGTCTCGCCGCTGGTAGTTCGAACTTTTCGAATAATTCGTAAAAAGCTGAAGAGGGACAAACAAGTCCATAAAGAGTGTGCTTTCTCTGCGTTTCCTTTTCTATGCTTTCACGATTCCTTCCTCTTTTTCTCTCTCTCTCTCTCTCTCTCTCTTTCTCTCTCTCTCTCTTTAACTCTAACTCTGTCTCCATTTCTCTATCTCTATCTCTCTCTCTCTCTCTCTCTCTTTTTCTTTTTATTCAGAATTTCTCTTTTCGATCAGTCTTTTAGTCTGAAGTTTAACGTTCGCTCGAGGTGCGACGTATCGAAAATGTAGAAGCCACAATGTAACTCGATTTCGTACTCTCGAACGTTATTGATCTGCCTTCTTGTTTCTTTTCCAAATATTTCTTCTCTATTGGTACTTTTGGAAAATAATTTTGGTCTTATCACTTGATACAATTTTTTTTTAACTTATGCGCGAAAAAATATGTCCCCCTTTTTTTTTTTTATTTCCACAATCGTGATCAATTTTTATTATATATCTCTCTCTCTCTCTCTCTCTCTCTCTCTCTCTCTCTCTCTCTCTCTCTCTCTCTCTTTCCCTCTCTTTCTCTATCTTGTTTTTATTCGATTTCTCTCGAATCTTTCGACCGTAATAACTCCGTTATTATCGCGTTTTTCTGTACATATTTCTCTCTCTCTCTCTTTTTCTTTCCTATCTTCTTCTTATCTAAAAAAAATTATTTTCTCGCTCGAGGAAGAATTCGCAGAAGAAGGGTTGGTTTCTCTTGGGATACGAAGAAATCTTGAAAACTACGTGAACGCCGTAATTCTTTGAAGAAGAAAGGACGGAGAAAGAGAACGAGAAAGAGAGAAAGAAAGAGAGAGAGAGAGAGAGAGAGAGAGGGAGAGAAAGAGACAGAAAAAAGAAAGAAAGGTTGCACTCTTCTCAGCCGATCTGGCAATTAGTCACGATTAATTCCTCAAAAATGAGAAGGGACGTGCACGTGTCTGCGGTAGGTAAGGATACATGGGTTGAATCCTCTGAGAGTCGAATAATAGGAGGCTAAAGGCTAACCACACACGAGGCCATCACCAGAATAGTCTACCTTCCTCTTTCGTTCTCTCTCTCCTATACACATATATATACAGACACACACATACAGACATGTGTACACGCACATATATACATACGTACATACATACATACATACACACACACACACGTATACATATACGTCATCTCTATTCTATCATCATACATCGTATTTGATTTACACGCTAGTGTATGCGCGTGCTTCATTGGCACGCCAATATGATACGTGGCAGTGCACTTTAATGCCACGACGCGGCCTACTTAGCGGTTGGCTTGATTAACATGGAGTGATTAATAGTCCGCTCCCTCTTGTCCATAAGCAACCCCATGGCCGGAGTAGCCGCAATGCCGCCATCGGAGATCTAATCGCACGATATTTATTGCCTTACGCGTCGTCTACTCTACGTAGGAAGAGATAGAATGAGAGAGACAGAGAGAGAGAGAGAGAGAGAGAGAGAGAGAGAGAAAGAGAGAGAAGATTCCTTACCCTTATTTTTTTTTGGCCACACTGATTTTGCGAATCTCTTCTCGGTCTTTTTCATTTTTCTCTTCTCCCTTCTCGTTTCGTTTTACGACGGACCTTCCATGATCTTCGTAACGATCTTAACTACCCCCCCCCCCTTTCCTTCCCCCTCCTTCGAATCTGTGAAATCTTAGTAAAAATGAAATATTTTAAGTAAATTCGATGATAAATATTTTTTACTAACTAATCGGTCTTTTTTATTCTTTCAATTTTTTATTTCTTTTTTTTTTTTTTTTTTTTTCCTCTTTTAATGAACATATGCTCTTCTTCCTTTATACGTGTCTTACATATGTACACGTTGATATGTATATGTGTATGTATATGTGTATGTATATGTGTATGTATGTGTACGGTTCGTACAACGTCGGAACGTTGAAACTTTGCTGCGTCTCGTGATAAAATTAGATTTGTTCGAGCGAGAAGAGGCCGTCGACTGTGTTTCCTGCAAATTCGGGATAATACCGACGTTGGCTTTCGCACGGGAGACACATCGTCTCCCATTTACTCCCCTTTTACGTGTTGCGTCAGCGTAACGTTGGCGCCGCATTCGTCTGTCGAAAGATCTTTAGCCTTGTTTACAGTTTCCAACTCTCTGGCGATCCACGATTATATCGGACTTTCTCTATATACCAACGTATGATCAGGTCGTGGACCTAAAAAGAAAAAAAAAAGAAAAAAAAAGAAAGAGAAAAAGAGAAAACGAATGACGATACGAAGTTAGATTAAATCACGATTATATCAAATCGCAAATTCATTAAACAAATTTAACAATTATTAGTTTTCTAATGTGAATTTATTCTATTTAAAAATTAATTATACAGTGTATTAATTAAATTGATCGAACAAAACTCGTCAATCGCTTGATAATAATAAAGCGTATTACGATGATATTAAAATTTAGTCTGACGCACGATCCATTGACGTAGAGTAAAAATTAATTTTAATATTTTACGATAACAATAATTTTGGAATTTGTCATCGTTTCCTCTTCGAATTTATATTATGTCTCATCATCCCATCTATTATTCTACCGATTCGTTCTATCGTCATTTAATCTCTTTTGTATTAAACACACATACACACACACAACTCACACGCATATATATATATATATAGTAAATATCAGAGGTATAGTACGTTTATAGTTAGGTCAAATCATTCTCAACGAGTGGAAAATAAGAAAGAGGAGGAAGAGAAGCAGAAAGAGGAGGAGGAGGAGGAGGAGGAGATATAAGGAAGAACCGAGTTCTCGTAATTTTATCGAAGCTTATCGAAGGCGGTACCAAACGCGATTGGCGGTAGCTCGAGGCCACTTATTTAACATCGACGTCGATAGAGTCCATTCCACGTTCATATCATTGGACAATCATTTTTTTTTTTCCATACTTTATTTATGCATCCCGTGACTTCTTAAACAATGCAACGATAATTAAGACCGTTCTACGTAATTAACGATTAGCTTTGAGTTGTTATTTTATTAACAGTACGCGTGAATTCTCGTTGGGCCATGTGCAAATATAGGAGGAACGATCATTGTGATAATAACGTTGTGTCGGTCTAAATGTATCAAAAGATATGTTTTTAAATGTAACAATGTTCTTTCCGAGCGATCAATATTTTTATGCTATTCTCAATGGAATAAGAACAAAAGGAAGATATAATTTTTTTCGAGTATCCCCGAGTATATATAATAATTGACCAATTATATTCTTTCGGTAAGTCATTTTGTTTCTTTAAAAAAAACAAAAAAAAAGAAAAAAAAAAAACACAAAAAGAAAATTAATGCGCGTAACATACAAAAAAAAAAAATCCGTTTTTTCCAATGGATTTCGTTACGCCATATCAACGTGCACGATCGTCACGTACATTTTCATGTTATTATTAATTATCACGAACGAGATTTTCGATTGTTTATTCGTTGACGATTGCGTGGGCTTTAAATAAACTTTCTCAAATGGATGTCGTAAAAGCGTAAACAATCACGAGCGAGCGCGAATCGTGGAAATTGGACATAAGTTAAATTAATTAATAAGTTAAATTATTAAATAGTATTAATTACAAGGCTAATGATAATGAACGAGATAATCATTATGAAACGTATTGTTTTAATTCGTTTTATCGGGATACCGATGTACTACGAAACATTCATATAATTAATCATTTTCACTCGAATTCTGTCCTTATCTTATATCGCTTTAAAATATTAATTAATTACTTATTACTGATCGTCATTAATCTTCTTCGATATTAGACATTTCTTCCTTATATCGTTCATGTTAATCCATATTAAATGGGACATATAGTATCCTTATTTTCGATAAATAAACTTTACAATATTTGGAATGGCTTTCGTGAGAAGAATTTGATGCTGCAGCTCAAACCATAAGCTCAAGAAGTGCATGTTACACCTCGTATATACGGGACCGTCGTGCTACGGCCTTATTATCCTCGAGAGCTCTTTGATCGATACGCTGGGATATCGATAGCGGTCGCGATGCTATCGTGCGGATAGGCTGGAACAAACGCGAACGGTGTAACGTTACACAAAGACCATGATGCATAGCCGTAAGGGGTATATATGCGGAGAAACATATATATATATATATATATATATATATATATATATATATATATATATATATATAGAGAGAGAGAGAGAGAGAGAGAGAGAGAAAGAGTGAGCACGATTTTTCTATCGTAGAAATATCACAGATGGAGAAAGTTAACTTCCCCTCCACCCCCACCCTCCCCACCTCCGTCCCCGTATGAAATATCATAAAAGAAAATTCTTCATAAGAAAAATTTTATGATCGTAGAAATAACATAGATATCGTTTATATTTCGTTTTAACTTTTATCAAATATTAAAAAGATAAAATAAAAAAAAAAAAGAAGTTACGAATTGTATTCAGTAAGTAGAACAAAGAAAAACGATGGGAGACGATTGAAAATGTTTTCTTTTTCTCTTAAATGATCCATCCTACGATTATATTTATAGATTCATTTTTTTTCTTTTCGTTCTTTCTCCTTTTCTTTGACACCGTACCTTCTCCTTTTCTCTCTCTCTCTCTCTCTCTCTCTCTCTCTCTCTCTCTCTTTCTCTCGTTTGCCTCGTCTCTCTCTTTTTCCATCGTAAGAATCGAGCTGAACTCACGTATCTATCAACGTAACCGCCGCCAGTGACATGGAAAACTCTGAGATCGGAAAGAACAGAATAGAAGGAAGAAGAAGGACGGCAAAGGATAAAGACACTGACAATCTAGGTCGACTCGTGGTCGCGACGTAGGCGTTTCTAATGCTCTGTGGCCGACACCAATGTCTCTCTCTCTCTCTCTCTCTTTCTCTCTTCTTTTCTCTCTCTCTCTTTCTCTCTTCTTTTCTCTCTCTCTCTCTCTCTTTCTCTCTTTCTCTTTTCTTTTCAAATCTAGAATTCAAGGCAAGCCTTGGTGATTCTAATGGAACGGTAAGTCGATGCCTTTACCCGATGATAGATTTTCTAGAGCAAGAGAAGAGTATCGAAATCTCGAAGTTAATCTTCTGTCGAAAACAAACAAACAAACAAAAAAAAAAAAATAAGGAAAAAAGAAATCCAATTCCTTCTTCCAAACATATGGTCTTCTCCGATCTTAAATGAGATTTTCTTTATTGCCCGTAGTATTTCGTTTCATCCTTTTTTTCAACGTTGACATTAAAAAACTTGATGGCAGTGTAGAAAGTATCTGTTGAAAATGTGAGAAAAGAGAGAGAGAGAGAGAGAGAGAGAGAGAAAGAAAAAAGAAAAGGATAAGAAGAACAATGGTAGATTACGTCATTGACGAGATTTTGTTTAATTTTCATAAGGAAAAAAAAAATCTCGCTTCTTTGCCGATTCGACAGAGATAGAAGAGAGAGAGAGATAGAGAAGGAGTCAAAGAGTTGGTAGAGGTAAGGAATACCTATTCAAAGAAGGTTAGAGAGGAGGAGGGGTAATAACGTAGGTAGCCTACGGCCTTAGCGATGATTAATAAATCAGGGATGGCGTTGAGAGAACAGTTTAACCTATGACCTCGCTGCGATGCATCCTACTCTTTCTCTCCCTCCCTCCCTCCCACAATCCCTTCCTTTTCTCTTTCTCTTTTTATCTCTTCTTCCCTCGTACTCCTTTTCTCTTTCTCTTTCGTCGCACTCTCGCATCGTTTTCACGAAGAGATGCCTTTCGTAGCCTTTTCGAGGAGGCACTCTCTCTCTCTCTCTCTCTCTCTCTCTCTCTCTCTCACTCTTTCTCTCTTTCTCTCTCTATTCGCTTAGGGCAACGCGGATGCTTTTTTCTGTGGGAAGAAGCAGACTTCGAATGTTAATCGTTGTTTAAATTTATGACAGTGCCCTCTTCTCTGCATCCTCTTACCACTATCTCTCTCTCTCTCTCTCCCTCTCTCTCTCTTTCTCCCTCTCCTCATTCGTTCGAGATTCTCATCGCATCGCAAAGAGAGAAAGAGAGAGAGAGAGAGAGAGAGAAGCATTCTTATTCCACTTCCATTCGTTTCGGCAAATTCTCAACCCCCTTCGAAACGAGCTCGGTGATTAGCACGTTTTCTTCGAGAGACTCTTAACGGAGAAAGTCTCTTAAGAGTTTACAAGAGAGAGAGAGAGAGAAAAGAAAAAAGGAGCGATCGCTCGCATTTGGCACTCCGCGTGATACTTTGAATTTGAGAAGCGCAAGAATTCTAGATACGTATATATCGTAAAAGAGCAATCTTCGAGAGATGATGTTTATGACGTTTAATTAAAGCGGCGTCTATTGAATCGATAAGACGGATATATCGATGCACGTTACGTGAAACGTACGGTAAAAGATTTTTACTCTTCGAGAAAAATAATCATCTCGCTTATTATCTTTATTTTTCTCTTCGAAAGATGTATTATTGGATATAATAATTTATTTTTTTCGAGAAAAAGAAACGTGCCTCTATCTATATATCTGGATATAACGTTGTTGCGTATATGCATGTGTATTCGCGTTAGAATGATGGTGTCGGTGATGTCGGTCTTCTCGATGGTGGTGGACTTATGTAGTGACTCAGAAATTCCTGGAAGAGGACTGACAGGCGAAATGGGTCAGACGTGGTACACTTAATAAAGGGAGAGAGAATAACGTTACGGGGTCCAGTGATTATCATATGAATTGGTGGGTAGCGTCAAAAGAGGAGGAATCGTTTGTGGTATCACTTCTGCACGAACGTAACCAACCACACAGAATTTACTCACACACACTTGCACATTCTCCCTAGTTGAGAGACTATTGTGTGTGGTCCGACGTGTGTGCGTGCGTCTGTCATCGACTGTCAGCCGAGGCTAGTTTGACGAGCCATTGCTCACCTCCTGTCAACGCGTGTTTTAACACACAGAGCTCATAACTGAATAATACATATGTATCGTTTCGATGTGTGTGTATTCCTTACACGCGTCCACGACCGGTTTCACGATCACGTCGCGACGTCACCACATCGTTTCTATCTTTTACTTTTTTTTATTTTCTTTTTTTTTTTTTTTTTTTTTTCTTTTTCCTTTCCTTCTTTTTCATTTCTCTCTCTTTCTCTCGTTCCTATATCATCCTGCGGATTCTTTGCTATCCCTTCTCCTTCTTTTTATCTCTTTCGCGGTCTATCCATCTACGTCTTGTCACCGTCCAGTTCGCCATTCGCGATTCGATCGTCGTCGTTGTCGTCGTCGTCGTCGTTGCCTCTCTTTCTCTCTCTCTCTCTCTCTCTCTCTCTCTTTATGGTCGTATCGAAGCGGTAGGGACAAGAAGAGAGAGGGATGATAGAGCCATGACAGGGACAAGGCCTGGCGACGTGCTGTTGACGCTTTATCCGTTCCCCTCGCTCGACTGACATCTTAATTGTAAACCGATAATCGAGCGAGCATCGCTCGCGAGACTCGTTCTCTTGTATTTCGATAGTTCTCCTCGTGCTGAAGCAACAAACATCGGGTTCGTTGTATTTTTGGAACTTTCTTCTTGTTTCGTATCAGGTGCATCGGAGAACAGGTTGTGCTTCTGCGGTATTAGGAAAAAACTTGTTCTTCGTTCTTTTGTCTTTTTTTTCTTTTCTTTTCTTTTTTTTTTACGTTTCTACGTTATGTCCTTTGCATTTGTAATTTTTGATTTTTTTTCTTCTTCTTTTTTTTTTTTTCTTTTGTTGATTTTTATTTTCGTTTAATTTCATATAATTCTTATCTTATCATAATATTATTTTTTTTGAAAAAAGATCCTCGCTTATATACGTAATGGGAAAAATGCATTGTCCCAGACAAGATGACGCATTCACGAGCAGATTAATTCGATATATATATATATATCAAGGATCTCAAAGGAACGTGAGATCTACGGTTAAGATGCATTCATCGTCGGTGAGCGACAAAATGCATATCCTTAACAAAGCGCGCACTTCGTTGAATCGTAAAGACGAAGGTTAAGTTCAATGACTTTAACGGTACTAACGTCAAAAGAATTAATAAAATTATTTTTGTTCGACTTAGGACATAAGATACGTTGTACGTATTCAAGATATAAAGGATTCATTGACAATGACGAAACAAAGAATTGTTCCTTGAATTAAATCGTACGATTTCTCTTCCTGAATTGATTCTTGACCAGTTAGCAAGACATTACAGATGATACAAATACAAAACTTTCATATCGTGAATGTACAATGTTCTGAAAATTGACGTGAGACAAGATTGACGATGAATTTCTAATATTCGTTAAAAGAGAAGAAAATGAAAGTGAGATGAGAGTTGGGAGGGGGCGAGGAGGGGATGGTTGAAGATAGTCAACTATAGAAATTCGAAGATTCTTATAATATATAGATTGGACAGTATCGAAAGTAGATAGAAACTTTTGAGTTGGTTCGACGATAGGAAACGTCACGTCAATCTATTCGTTCCGTTGTCTTTGACGACACTTAGTCGAAAAGATCTCTTGGAAATTCTTGAAGAAGTTACGAATCGATTATTAGTCATCATTTACTAAAACTCATGCACGTGCAAAAGAAGAAAGTAGAAATTTGTGTTATTCGAGAGGAACCGCTATGGAAAAATATGGAAATGATTTTTGGAGTATCGGCAAACTTCTCTTCTTGAATATTTGTGGAGTTCGTAAAAAGAATCACGAGAAATGTAATACGACGTGTACGTGTAACGATCGGTCGGTCGTTCGTCGTCGATCCTTTAAAAAACGAAGAGTGACTCGAGAGAGAGAGAGAGAGAGAGAAAGAGAGAGAAAGAGAGAGAAACCATCGTCGAAACCATTTTCTCGAACATCGATTTCACGAGCAAGCTTGTCCGTCGTCGTCGTTGAGTTCGGCTCACTGCTTCTTTTTCTTTCGATACCGATGCCAGGTAGACGTAATAATGTCATTATTAATGTGAGGAATTTTTACGACGCGTTAATTTGCCGCCATTCTACGTTTCGCTTCTTACTCCAGGACTCGCGGTCAATAAATTGTTTTAATTAGAGGAGAAATCGCATGAGATCGTAAGAATCGTGCAAATCTTTGCACCGTAAACAAATTAAGAGGTTTGGAAAACGAGTGATACGAACGACAGAGAATAACCACCAACCGGTCTTTATTTCTCTTTCTTGTAATTTCGACGATTTGCAAACTACTCGTTTCGTTCGACGAAAGCATCGTTTCTTTTCTTTTTTTTTCTTTTTATTTTTTTCTTTTTTCTTTTTTTTTTTCACTTCGATTCGTTAAATAATAAAGTACGACGAGAGTACCTATGCTTTTTTCTATTTGAATGAATTTGTCAAATTTCTCACGATAGAAATTACTTTCTCGTGTATATCTTTACTATTTTATTTCTCTCTCTTCCTCTCTCTCTCTCCCTCTCTCTCTCTCTCTCTCTCTCTATGAAAACGATCGTAGCAATGCAAGATTATGCAAATGAACGAGTGAGCCTCCGGTCTTCGTACGGAAAGAAAGGAAATGAAAATGAATGAGACGATGCACTCCCTTCTGTACTTCGCCAAAAGGGATGATCCAATGATATCTAGAATTTCTTTTCCTTTTTTTTTTCTTTTTTTCTTTTTTTTTTTTCTTTTTCGTTTCGAACAATGAAACTATTTCGTGCTTACGGCAGTATTTTCTTTTTTTTTCTTTTTCTTCTTTTATTCTTTTTTCTTTTTTTTCCTTTTCTTTTTTTTTTTTTTTCATTCATACGTTTAAACGCATAAATAAAAACATTAATTTATACGTTAAAGTATCGGCTCGAAGCGTTCGTTCGTTAATTAATATGATTAATGTTTGATTTAATATTAATAAATAATTATTCTAAAATCAATCGTATATTATCGATACTTTGTTTATCAAAGTGAAATAAAAGTCACGAGGTAAGGATCGTTGACTCTTCGTACAGGTGACGTAAACAAACAAGATACGAGATATATATCTCGTGAGTGTTAGGATATCAGGACGTTCGAACAGTCGAGTCGGAGCCTTCGTCCTGTAAACATCGAGGGAGAAAGAGATATATACAACGTTCGACCAGCCAAACTCATAGTTTTCTACGACGTTCTTATATTATCTATTAAAAATATAAGAGAATTGATATTAATTACGATTAAGTTTTTTTTTTCTTCTTCTAATTAAGGTTAGTTAACATTCATCACAATTATATTTAAATTATATTACGAATAATTTTATAATAATCATATGTTATCAAATGAACAAGAGAATATTTCATGGAGATATATATATATATATATATATATATATATATTCTGAGCGTCGTTTTATTTTTAACTTAACGTATCATTTATTTTAACGTAAATATAAGTCAACTTACGGGTACTTCAATATACATATATCACAAATATTATCTATTATACTTTCAGAATTTCTAACGTTTCGTTTCTTAGTTTATAATATATATTAAATATATATATATATATATGTCCGGGGATTATGTTACAACAATAAAGAAGGCGAGACAAAGGAGAGAAAAAGAGAGAAAGAGAGAGAGAGAGAGGGAGAGAGATCGTTCGTTCATTAGAAACTATCACAATAGTTCGTAGGAACAAATGACGCTGTTAGATCAAGAAAGGAGAAAGAGTCCAAGATGTTAAGGGTAATTCGAAGAGATTCGAAAAGCCTACTCTCTTTTAGTTGCCGTTGTTGTTCTTTCTCAACGTAATATCGCCAAGGAACGTTACTTCACGAAGATTTATAATCGACTCCTACGCTCTTATTACGATTTCCTTTCATTGCTCTTACGATCTAACGTTCGCCTTTATAACCGTCTTTCTTCGAACAATGCGTCTTTGGAGTTGAAATGATACGTACAACGAGTTCGTCCGTAAACATATATATATATGATGTATATATATGACATTTATATATATATATATATATGTATAATATATACGTTTATTTTTATATATATATATATATATAATATACATTTATATATACATATACAATATATATGTTCATATGTATATATATATATATGTATATAATGTTTGTTTCTTTAATTTTTTCCTTTTCTTTTAAATTTCATCGTTTGTCCTTGGATTTTCTAGAAATGTACGTAAACGTTCAATGTAATATGATAAAATAACAAGAAAAAGGGAAAAAAAAAGGAGGACGAAAATATTATCACGTGTTGTTATGATCCAAGTATTTATATTAGTTATATAGATAAGTGTCATGCATGTTCTCTCACGTATGAAGATAAAAGAGAGTATAAAAGAGAAGAAGAAGAAGAAGAAGAAAAAAATAGAGAAAAGAAAAAGAAAGAAAGAAAGAAAAAGAAAAGAACGAAAGAAACAAAAAGAAAAGAGAGAGAGAGAGAAGAAAAAAAAAAGCTTGTACGTAGTAGATACTTACGTCAGGTCGATTCATTGCTGACGCCGGTCTTCGCCAAAAATAACGTTCATTGATTTCGCGTTCTGAATGAACGAGCTCGCAAAGGAAAATGAGACAGAGTAGACCCATCGAAGAAGAGAGAGAGAGAGAGAAGGAGGGTAGGAGGGAGGGAGGGAGGGAGGTAGATAGTTATCTATGGCCATCGTCGAGAACTAGCGATAAGATTTCCAAGAAGTTGGAAAAAGAGAGAGACAGAGAGAGAAAGAGAGAGAGAGAGAGAGAGAAAGAGAGAGAGAGAGAGAGAGAGAGAGAGAGAGAGAGAAAACTTTTCTTACGATTGCGTTTTGAAAGAAGCTCTCCAACAAATAGAGATACTTGTCTTATTCGCCCACGCGTCTTTTTAACGTCAATACTCACCCTCTTCTTTATATATACACCCTCTCGCAAGTCACCCTCATCTCTCAATTACGTTATATCGATTCGGTACGGTAGTTCGATAAATATTTATAAATATTTTTTATAGATTTTAACGATGACTTTGAATTGAACAACGAGTGTATAAATGTAATGCTCAGTACGAAATTAAAGATAAAATATTTATGAAATTTGTTTAAAAAAAAAAAAAAAAAAAAAAAAAGAAAGAAAAAAAATGAATTGAAACTGAGAATAGTCTGTATTTTTCTTTCTTCGTTTTCTCTTTTTTCTTTCTTTTTTTTTTTTTTTTTTTTTTTTGTTCTGTTAAAAAAAGATTACGCATTACGGCAGCGAAGAAGAGATCTTGAATTTCCATACGATAGCGACGTTTTTTGCTTATCTTTATCCTCCTCTTACCTAGCTCATCGTTTAAGATAGCGCAACGAAGCATGTGCCTGCGTGGCACGGGATCGTGTGTTTCTCAATTTCAGAAAAAGAAAAGTTATTTGAATGAGATGTAAGGCTTTTTCTTTTTTGTTCTTTGTCGTGTTTTCTTTTTTTTTTTTTTTTCGTTTTCTTTATCTTCCTTTCTTTCTTTCTTTTTCTGCTTTTTTTTTTCTTTTTTTTTTCGGTTTTTTTTTTAATTGCTATAACCATGAAGAATCGAAACGAATGTCTTTATTAATGAAATATTTTAACTCTTGTTATGGCGAATCGTTGAAATTTTTTTTGTTAACATATTTTTTCGCGTTTCAAATTCGCGATCGGATTGGATCGGATCGATGTATGATTTCTCTCTCTCTCTCTCTCTCTCTCTTTTTTCTTTCTTTTTTTTTCCATTTCATTGGCTTTATCCTTATAAAAGAATGTGAAAATTGAAGAGGACAATATTCATCTTAGGATTGATGAATTAAACAGATAGAGATATTGATAATAAAATTCATTTTAAATGTGAAAACGAAAAGATGTGGCGATGAGTTGACGCGGGAAGTAGCGCGCTAAGCAGAATTCGCTATCGGCGGCGGATTGTAAGCAGTGTCGTTTTTACGAGAGACAGAATTTTAATGGTCTTCTACGACGTGTGGCATAGAGCACCAAGCTTGGAACGAACTCTGTATAACGGCCTTTATTATGATTATTTGCGGCTGCACGCCTTTCCCGGCATCTTGGTACGTACTACATACGTACGTGCGTGAGCCATAGGTAGAACCCCATGCGTCTCCGAGTTTATTTTATGCTTACTACGCTCTCGAGCCTGCCTTAACGTCGTCTCTTCCTCTCTCTCTCTCTCTCTCTCTCTCTCTCTCTTTTTTTTTCTTTCTTCTCTTTTTCTCTTTTCTTGCTCGTATATACATACCTACAACGAAACGGTAATTCCCTCCTCTCGCACGTGACCGATCTGCTTTTACAAGATCTCGACATTTTCTTAAAATTATTATGAAAACTTGTTTAAAGTGAAAAAGGAAAAAAAGAAAAAAATTCAGTACCATTATTAATTATCAATATTGATAGATTATTGATTTCGACATTCTCGATTCAATCGGATTATTAATTTTATAGTTTGTCATGTTATCGATATATATATATATATATATATATATATATATATATATATTTTACTGAGTACTTGCATAAAGTACGCACTTGTTATGAAAATTCGCGAAATTCTGTCCCGACGAGATGTCTGAGTCCTTGGCAAGTCTTTCCACGAGTATAGCGGCGACAACAGGGACGATGATGCAAACCGGATAGCATTCTTTAAACAATTGTATACGCATGGTCATAGAATTTGTCGAATGATAAACCTCTCTTCCCTTCTCTTTCTCTTTCTCTCTTTCTCTCTCTCTCCTAAGAAAATAACGATGGAATGATGTAGATTAGTCAAAGCTATTTCTTTCTTTACGTTTTTTTAGACGATCCACAATGAAATATCGGAATCGCGCAATATCTGTTTGAGTGTTACGAGCCGTGAAAGATACGAGCGATGACGTCATGAACATCGAACCACGTGGACTCGAATTTAGTCGATTTTAGTTATTGCTATGACGAGGGCCAACGAGAAAACGAGAGAGAGAGATAAAGAGAGATACTATAGTGGGGATGATCACAAGAGGAAAAAGGAAGAAAAAATAGAGGGGGATGATCATTTGTAAAGACAAATTTTTGCGTGGTCGATTGCGGAGCAGACATACTCGTCTATTACGTAGGTAGATATAGAGTCAGCAACGCCCACGTCGTCGCCACCCTGCTTCTGCCGGTCACATCGAAAACGGCTAGCTTACGGGGGTAGGGGGATAGTTGCGGTGCGAAAATGTCAGACGAACCGGCTGATACGATACTCCCACGCGATAGAAAGTGGAGCAAAGTCGATTCATTCATCCACTGATTCATAAGAGTGGGTGCTATGAGAGAGAAAGAGAGAAAGAGAAAGATAAATACACTTCTTATCTCTCTCTCTCTCTCTCTCTTTCTCTCTCTCTCTCTCTCTCTCTTTACCACTTTCTTTTCATCCCCTCTCACTTTCTTCTTTCCTTCATCCCTTATTCGAATCTTTCAATACGATTTCGTAGGGATATCTTTCATAGACAAAAAGTAAGTTTTGAGCGTGTAGTAGTTAGATACTTTCTCATCCCTTCGAGTTTCGAGAAATTACTACCCAACTCGTGTGGGTAGTGAAAATCGAAGAAATTGGATAATTCCGGGGTTTTCCTTTTCCTAGAAGAACGCCATTTTGGTGACGCAAAGCTCGATCGCAGACCTTGGACTCTCTCATGCTCTCTCTCTCTCTCTTTCTCTCTCTTTCTCTTTCTCTTTTTCTTTTACCCTCTTTCTTTCTCCACGATCAACTCTCAACCTCTGATATTATCATGTATTACGTATGTAGCAAAATGTATGAGCTTTTCGTAAAAATACACGAAAAGCAGCTTTCGAAAGGAGATCTCGTTTAATTTTTCGCCCCTTTCTCTCGCTAAGAGAGAAAAAGAGAGAGAAAGAGAAAAAGAAAGACCGAGAGACGATAGATCGAGAGTTCGGATTATGTGGAGTTAAAGTGGTTTTTTCTTAAATGTTAAGGTCATACTCGTCATATTCTATTCGTCGACCAGTTACGATTCTAATCTCACGTTATATTAGCCTAGTTAATTGATCATTGAAGCGTTAACAGATACCGTTAATTCTTTACAAGGGGAAAATATATCAACTATAAAATCTAACTATAAAAATTATTATAACGATGAAAAGTTTTTATTGGAATAAACGTAATTAGAAATTTTCATGGATTCTTTCGATAATTTTGATATCTACGATTGTTCCAAGGAGAACACGAGGAAAGAGGGTCGATCTGTTGGCTCTTTGAAAATAAGAGAGAGACACCAATAACGACGATACGAGAGAGAGAAAGAGAGAGAGAGAGAGAGAGAGAGAGAAAGAAAAAAGTCATCGAGAAAGTCGAACGGAAATGATGAAGGAAACAATGTCTCTAAAATTGAATTTTACTTTTCGATTGTAATTAACGATCGTATAAAGCAGAAGCATATTTTTCGATTGAAATTTTTAGATGATGCAAGCGAAGCAACTGAGTGTTGGACCACTCACGGCAAGGCGGTTGGTTTCGAGTGTGTCTTCTCTCTTCCATCGACCGTTTCCCTCCTCTCTCTCTCTCTCTTTTTCTCTTTATCTCTCTTTCTCGCTCTCATTGTTGCAGCATCGCCCATCGTACTCCGGATATCCTATACATCGCTAAACACAATGCACCGTCTGCTGTTCCTGGCTGAGCGCCATTGTCGATAACCTTTGCATCGTCGACCCGATGATGGTAGTACCGCGATAGGAATGTCGTCGACTTGGAGAGTAGCGGTATTCGTGTGGTGATACGCACGTGGAACGTGTTCTCTCTCTCTCTCTCTCTCTCTCTCTTTTTCTATTTCTCTTTCTCTTTCCATTTCTCTCTTTTCTTCCTTTCTTTTCTTTTTCTTTTTCTCTCTTTCGTATTTCCTTTTTCGTTAGATGCGAAAACGCAGAAGGTCGAAGGTCGCCACAGCGAAAGGTCAGATCCACGGTTAAGTGCACGAAATAAGAACGAAAAAGGCGATCGCCAACTCGTAGGAAAAAGAAGAGAGAGAGAGAGAGAGAGAGAGAGAAAGAGAGAGAGAGAGAGAGAGAGAAAGAGAGAGAGAGAGAGAGAGAGAAAGAGGAAGACGATAAATAAATCGTATGCATTGTAGAAATCTTTGAGACCCGCTCGTCGGATCTTTTCGACTGCGTTTTCATTGTGCTCTGTGTATATATATATATATATATATATATATATATATATATATATATAGCGATGAGTATCCTTTGCTTTTGATTTTAGTTTGGACATTAGATCGATGCCGGTATGTGTATGTACATAGATCCAAGAGTTATGCGATTCTTAAATTATAATTCGAGAAATGCTGAGAATAGATTCAATGTTTCTTTTTTCTTCATTTCTTTCGTTTTATTTTACATCTTGTTCTCTCCTTTTATTTTTTCTGTTCGAATTTAGAACACCATTGATTATGATGAAATCGGTGGAAAAATTTTTGAAGGGAAAATTCCCTTTCTTCTCGATGACTCATGCGAAAGAACCAAATACGGTATCGGCAAGGAAACGATGATGATTCTTCTTTCAACTACCCACGCTTTCTTTCGTGTTTTTCAATATCGCGGTAGGCGCCCTCGCGAAATTAGCATTCGCGAATGCCAGAAATAGATCGCGGATCACAATGCTTTAGGAAGGTCGGACGTAAAAAGACAAAACTAGAAGGAGAAGGAG